ATGAATGTGATGTCCATCGGTTCATTTAGAAGGCTGGACGAAACAATGGCAACTGAAATTGAGAGTCTAAGGTAATGTTGATGTGGCAACTGAAATTGAGAGTCTAAGACTCTTAAGGTAATGTTTATGAGTATCTATTTATTACTATTTTCATTGTTATTTATTACTTTCATTGTTATTGAGTGTTTCAGCTTATCAAGTCTTGAATCGATGAGAAATGTGATGGATCTTGTGAATGACATGGTTCAAGCCGTAAATCCATCTGATAAATCAGTAAGTGTGGTGGAATCACTCTTTTTGGAAAGCTAATGATTTCTTCATGTTTGTAAAAGCTACTAGATAATCTCTGGTATATTTCACAGGCCTTAAAAGATGAGCTAATAGTTGATCTAGTAGAGCAGTGCAGATCTAATCAGAAGAAACTAATCCAGATGCTCACAACAACTGCGTCTGTCTACTCGACCTTCTCCCATTTTTCTTACTGATGAACATCGCAGCGCAATACTAATAAGACTGTATGTTCTGCCTTCTTCTTGACAGGGACGAGGATGTTATGGCACGTGGGCTCGAGCTGAATGACTCCTTGCAGGTAGTGCTCGCGAGACACGATGCTATTTTCTCTGGTGTCTCTCTTCCAATGTTGCAGGCCTCGGAAACAAGAGAGACGAGCTCTGTCCTCAAGACTGATGTTCCTACTGGTGCTGCTCTCGAGTCTGATTCTTCTTCATCATCAAGCAGTGAAAGTGAAACTGAGGGGGAGGAAATTAAAAATGACTTTATGCAGTTAGCCAAAACGTTAGTCATTATGACTCAAAGGCTAGAATTTCCGAGTGACAAAGTAGCTTATAGACATTGTCGAATTTGCAGGCAAACTCTGTTAAATGCCGAACACAGCGATGAAGAAGAAGGAACATTGCTTCTTGGCACCAACAATGAAAATACTGCAGAAACCGAAGCAAAGGCACAGTGCAAAGATCTTGCATTATTCGACACAACAACAACAACCAAGTCAGAGCAGGACATTATTGAACTTCTTAGCCTAACTCTGTCAACAACAGCTCTGCCCTCTCCA